TGTTAGGAATGGATTGGGGAGAGGCAGCAGGGGCCACACTCCATTTGAGAGAGCATGAGTGTAGGCTCCCTAGCCCGTGAGGCGAGGTTAAGACTGCCCGCCTGTTTCATGTGTCAGGTGTAGATAACACTCTGGCACACTGTTGTCTTAGTGCTCCTGCGTTCGCGCGACTAGTGAAAAAGGAGCAGTTAGAGGACCAGGTCTTTGTAGTTTATGTTAGACCTGCCACTGAGGCTAAGGAAGAGTTGACTTCCACAGATCCAACCATTGTCAAGCTGCTGGAAGAGTTTAAAGACTTGACTGAGTCGCCGACAAGAGTAGTGTCGTGACCCATCCAGCACAGAATAGAGATAGAGCCTGGCAGTAGAACTCCTAAGGGWGCAGTCTACAGGATGTCCCCTAGAGAGTTAGAGGAGCTTTGCAAGCAGTTAGACGAGCTCCTTAAGAAAGGTTGGATCAGGCCCAGTTCGTCTCCTTTTGGAGCACCAGTCTTGTTTTTTCCCAAGAAGGAAGGAGAGTTGAGAATGTGTATAGACTACAGGGGTTTGAATGCTATTATAGTGAAGAATATCGAGCCGCTGCCCAGGATAGACGATCTTTTAGATCGGGTTCAGGGTTGCAAGTATTTCTCTAAGATAGACTTAAAGTCCAGATACCATTAGATAGAAGTTCACCCTGATGACCAGTATAAGACTGCGTTCCGGACTAGATATGGGCATTATGAGTTTATAGTGATGCCCCTTGGGCTAACCAACGCGCCAGCTACTTTTCAGTGTTGTATGAATGACCTGTTTAGGCCATGGTTAGACAAGTTCGTAGTAGTTTATTTAGATGACATCTTAGTTTTCAGTAAGACCCTCCAGGAGCACCAGGGTCATCCGAGGCAGGTCTTGGAGAAGCTATGAGAGGCTAACTTCAAGATCAACGCGAAGAAGTGCGAGTGGGCCACGACACAAGTCCTGTACTTGGGGCACATATTAGACGGAGATGGCATTAAGCCAGAGGACAACAAGATCGCGGTGATTAGAGACTGGCCGACGCCCCGCACATTGACAGAGTTGCGGTTGTTCCTAGGCCTAGCAAATCGTTATAGGAAGTCCGTAAGGAACTTTTCTACTATTGCCGCTCCCCTGCGCAGATTGCTTAAGAAAGAGACAATCTGGCAATGGGACAATGATTGTACATCTGCGCTCAAGAGATTAAAGCACGCACTAATATAATACCCTGTCCTCAAAGTAGCCGACCCGTCTCTGCCGTTTGTCGTCACCACGGACGCGAGTCAGTATGGGATAGGCGCTGTGTTGCAGCAGGATGACGACAATGACTATAGACCCGTAGAGTTCATGTCCGCGAGGATGCCCTCAGAGAAGGTAGCCACCTCGACCTACGAGAGAGAACTCTACGCTCTCAGGCAGGCTCTAGACCACTGGAAGCATGACCTGCTTGGGAGGCACTTCAAAGTGTGTTCTGACCACGAGACCCTTAGATGGTTAAAGACGCAGGCCAAGATGACACCTAAGTTGACTAGGTGGGCCGCAAAGATAGACCAATATGACTTTGAGCTTAAGCCAGTGAAGGGCAAGTACAACGTAGTTGTGGACGCTCTGAGTAGGAGATCAGACTACTTTGGAGCCATAGTACACTATTTGGATATAGGGAGAGACCTGCAGGAGAAAGTGAAGCAAGCGTATGCGCAGGACCCTATCTATAGCGACCTCCTAAAGAAAGTGAGAGAGGCCCCAGAGACTGAGCCAGATTACCGCACCACAGACGGGTTGCTGTTTGAGAAGACTAACGTATTTGACCGCCCGTGCGTTCCCAACAATGAAGAGATTCGTAGTCTGGTCCTAGGGAAATGCCACGATACTGAGGGACATTTCGGTTGGCAAAAGACTTTAGCCAACCTGATGTGTGCGTACACCTGGCCAGGGATGAAGAATGACTGCATATAGTATGTCCGCAGCTGTAAAGTGTGCCAGAGAAATAAGACTACTACACGCGCGCCCCTAGGTCTTCTCAGACCCTTGCCTATTCCGGATCACCCGGGAGACTCAGTGTCTATAGACTTCATGGACACGCAAGTCAAGAGTAGACATGGTAAGAGCCAAGTCATGGTCATAGTTGACCGATTTAGTAAGTACGCAGTTTTGTTCCTTTGCGTGCAGAGGCACGCACAGATTTAGTAATACAGAAGTTCTTTGACTTTTGGATTAGTGAGAATGGAATCCCATTGTCAATAGTTAGCGATAGAGACAGTCGTTTCACCAGCCAGAACTGGCAAGAACTCGTGAGAGTCTACGGATCCAAGCTATTGATGTCGTCTGGCCGCCATCCAGAGACAAACGGTCAGACAGAACAGATGAATAAGATCCTACAGCAAGTTCTGCGCATGTACATTAGACCTGATCAGATCAACTGGGACGAGATGTTGCCCAAAGTAGCTAGCGCATACAACAACAGCGTGCATTTGTCCACCTGTCGCACTCCCAATGAGCTGCACAAGTCCTTTAGGCCGCGCAGACCATTCGAAGGACTGAACCGGGATCAGATYCACAGGCTACCGCCCGGTACTAGGGAGTTTGCGATACAGCACGAGAAAGAACTAGCAACAGTTGTAGAGAACCTCAGGAAGGCCCAGCACAGAATGATAGAACAGGCCAATAAGCATCGTCGCCCATCGCAGTTTCAGGTAGGCGACTTAGTCTGGGTCAAGGCTAAAGAGTTTGCAGCTGAGGAAAACATCTCGCAGAAGTTACTGCCTGCATATAGAGGACTGTGGCCGGTTCTAGAAGTTAAGGGCGTAGAGGATGGACCGTCCTACACTATAGAGATTCCAGCACACCTCCACACATACCCTGTGTTTCATGCTTCAAAACTGCTGCCGTGTGTCACAAGTCAACAGTTCCCTTCAAGAAGATCCATGATCCCCCCGGATATGGATGGAAGCTATGACATTGACGGCATTATAGATGAAGATGTCTTCAGAATAGGAGGTAGAGGTCGTCCACAGAAACAGTATAAGGTCCGGTTCGCTTATCAGGAACCGGAAGACGACTACTGGTTCACCAGAACAGAACTTCTAGAAACAGCTCCCGACATAGTCAGAGCCTATGAGCGTGATAAGAAGGGTAAAGGCCCTGCTTTAGACTGAAATATTATCGGAGGACCTCGAATTCAGGACGGCGGGAGTGAAACGGTTTTCACCTTTTAGGAGTAGCAGATGCAGTTCCCAGGGTTCGATCCCTAGACCTCGCCCTACCCACGTACAGTATCTGTGTAGACCCCGAGAGTTGAACCTGTGACCTGTGTATTCGTAGACAGTTGGTAGGTCTGTCATAGGTCCGTAGGTAGCAGGGGTTCGATCTGTAGATCTATAGAGTAGAAGTCTTAGTGAGTTCGAGGAGCCTAGCTGTAGTCCTTCTAGAAGGTCGGCAAGTGGGCAAGTGGTCAAGTGGCGAGTCAAGTGGTGGACTAAACTGCAGTGCAATTGCAGTACGACTACGGTAGGATAGCAGTGAGTCCACAGTCAGTCAACGGTAAGGTCCAGTCAGTCCCAGTTCGGTCCAGCAAGTACCACGGGGGACTGTGAGCACCATGGGCGGATGGCCAAGGGCAGACCGACAAGTTTCCGAAGTATAAATCAAGAGGCAGCGCCCAGCCATTCATTCAATTCTGCATGAGCCATGCAGAAGCGCTGCCCCAGGGACTTGTGCAAGGAGGTCTGCAGAGAGCCCGGAGGACGCAGTGGGCGAGAGAGGAGGAGTTAGCGTAGCGATAGGGTAGAGGCAGCCATAGCGGCCATAGCTGTAGTCAGTGGGAAGTGTGTGTGTGTGTGTGTTCGAGTGTTCAGAGTGACGCGTGTGGGATATCCAGGGTGATCCGGTGTGTGTGAACAGTGAGTTGTTTGGGCGCTGAGTCGCCATAGNCAGTGAGTCCACAGTCAGTCAACGGTAAGGTCCAGTCAGTCCCAGTTCGGTCCAGCAAGTACCACGGGGGACTGTGAGCACCATGGGCGGATGGCCAAGGGCAGACCGACAAGTTTCCGAAGTATAAATCAAGAGGCAGCGCCCAGCCATTCATTCAATTCTGCATGAGCCATGCAGAAGCGCTGCCCCAGGGACTTGTGCAAGGAGGTCTGCAGAGAGCCCGGAGGACGCAGTGGGCGAGAGAGGAGGAGTTAGCGTAGCGATAGGGTAGAGGCAGCCATAGCGGCCATAGCTGTAGTCAGTGGGAAGTGTGTGTGTGTGTGTGTTCGAGTGTTCAGAGTGACGCGTGTGGGATATCCAGGGTGATCCGGTGTGTGTGAACAGTGAGTTGTTTGGGCGCTGAGTCGCCATAGCCAGTCGAAAGTGAACTCGTATCTGGAAGCCATATCTCTGAGTTTTGAGTGGGCGCATGTCACCAGTTTGCTGTTCTGCTGTTTACATGCATGAAAGGTGTGAATGAGAACGAGTCTGATTGCACGTAAAGCAATAGTGAACTCGAACAAGCGTCTTGGGAGTTTTGAAAAGCGAAATTCGTCACAAACAGTTTCATGAAAACAAGCCTCTAGCAAGGCCTGTAAATCAATGATTCTATATTCTACACATTTTTCTCTAATTGTAGAAATATAATTTTCTGAAAATTTCTCACTGAATAATTTGATTTATTGGCATTATTGCTAAATTATTAAATATTTCCAATTTGGGCATATATTTCATCCATCGTAAAGTTACAGTACATATACAAAGTTGCAAACGTTTAGTAATTTTTGATTTTTTTCAATTCTATTTGATGTAGAATGTAAAATTTGTATATCTCTATCTACTGAAGGCTGACTATTCGATGGTCTGAACGGAGTTGACCGAAGGCCTAACCTTTACCCTGCTGTTGCACAGTGTGCAGAGTGCATTTGACAGTCATATTTCAAACGAATGTCAACTGATCAGGTTTTTGCATTATGTGTTCTTCCTTTGATGGTTTCGGTATTTTCTGCTGGGAATTGTAAAAAAAAAATGCAGGTCCTTACTTGAGGCAGCAGTAAGGCAAGAATCGTCAATGGAGCGAATGTTGCTTGTTGCAGCGTTTGCATGTTCGTCTTATTATCGGAGTATTCTCCGGGATGCTAAACCATTCAACCCCTTGTTGGGAGAGACTTATGAATGGGCGTCCCCAGAAGGGAGGACGAAATTCATTGCAGAGCAGGTGAGCATGAACTCTGCCGTTTGACTGATGAAAGTTTGAAAAATGATGGACCGTGGCTTTATTTGTCACCAAGTGCTGGTGTTTTCATGGGAGTTCAAAACTTTGGGCGTGGACCCCCTACCTTCTGTGGCTTTTGACAATGTAACCTTCTCTTTTTTCAATTGTGTCTGCAATGTGTGGGGTATTGCCTGGACACCTACGGTTATGCGCATTCACTTTTCACCGAAGTAATTTGTCTCTGGGTGATTATATCTATGTTGTATGTGGTATTGTGTGGACACACGTGTATTTGTGCCTTTGCTTATGCTTTGTTCATACTTCCTGCATAAGCATCCGATGGAACTTCCGTCTGCAAATGAATCAGAATATGCCATGGGCTTGGATCATGCTTTGTCCATACTTCCTGCATAAGCATCCGATGGAACTTCCGTCTGCAAATGAATCAGAATATGCCATGGGCTTGGATCAACTGATGGGTGAGGATGCTCTAAACTACTCTTGTGTAGCTTGATTCTTTGATTCTTTGTCTAGTCCTTTTACACTAGGTTAATTCAAACAGGGCCTCGCGGTCCCTACACTTCTGGGGAACTTCATTCCGGTTCTTTATCAACCGGCAAGTGATCACTACAGCTTATATCCAGATGATTCCTTCCATGGAGTCTGAAAGAAACCCTGATAAGCGTTGATTGCCCCTTTACCCAGCGGGATTGACTGTCAGGCCATGTTTTTCTGGAAACTCTTCCCAGCCTATGCAAAAGACTAAAAGTAGACTGTCAGATGAACGTGAAACGCTAGAACCTGTATTGGTTCCAAGACAACTGAGTTGTTTTACCATTCAGCAAGACCTCATCCAATTCCAACACACTTCGGACAATCAGAATCAATTGGAAACAATTGCACTTGATTGGAAGCTTCGCTGAAAATTGAAATTGAATGTACGCATTTGAAATTTGAATACTTCATAAGTTCATATAAAAGAAATGCACAAGTTTAAAAGCTTCAAATAATTCAAATGGAAAACAGATCAAAAGGAATGAAAAGGAAAATACCGGAACAATTTAATGTACACATTTGATTACTTCATATAAGAGAAAATGTACACATTTGAATACTTCAAATAAAAGTAGAAAAAGATCGAAAGAAATGAAAAGGGAAAAATGGAAGTATGATGCATAAGAAAGCAGTGCTCTCTCTTTCTCCGTTATGATCCTCGCTATCTTGCAGTGCAAGAACTCAAAAAAAGGCAATGCAATCGCAACTGAAATGACAAAACTTGGAACGAGAAATAGACAATGGTGGACCATCGTAGTGGAGCTCTGATGTTCAAAGAACAATGTAAACTTCTGCTTCCCTCCTACTGGCCGTCAGCCCTAGGCTACCACCGCCGGAGTCTTCCCTCAAGGTATCAACCCACTTGGGGCCTTCCAGGTGCAGCGCCAACCAAGAAGATGAAGCGGCTGACCACCATTGGCAGGTAAGCTCCTCCTGTCAGTCTCCTCGTTGCTCACCGTCTTCCTCCTCCTCCTAGTCCCCCCTGCTAGCCGCGTGCTCCCTCGGCGTTTCCACCATAAGTGAGGTGGATCCCAGGGCCGCCTTCTGCCTCCTCTGCTCAGTGTTGTTGAGCCGAGTGTTTGCTCCAGCAGCCTCCCAAACTGCACACTAGCAAATGAGGCGGAGCACTTTGTCTGCCAGTTTGATATACCGGAGAAGTGCCTCCTCGCGCGGATGCGTCAAGCCTTCAAGGTACCTCTCCTTTTCGGAGGGAAACATCATTGCAGGGTTCAAATTTGCAAATGACCAGATCAGTTAGTGCATAGAGTGAGAAATTTGGAGAAACGGTCTATGATCACCATGACTTGAGAATTTCCCTTCCTATTTACCTTTCCCATGTTTGTGAAGTCAATAGAGACCGAGTCACGGGAAGCGGAAGGGATAGAGATAGGTAGTGGTTTCAGTAAACCAAGGGGTGGTTGTCTATGGATCTTGGTCCTTCTACAAACCTCAATATGTCATAAGTTTCTGCGCGGATTCCTTCATGTTAGGGTAGTCATATTGCTGCAGTAAACTTCCATAAGTCTTGGCGAAGATGAAGTTTCTGCTCCTAACATGTGGCATATCCAAGAAGTGAGTTCGGAGAGGCACATGGTTGGGAACACCAAATAATAAACCCTCATTCGCGGTGATCAGGCTGACTGCTAGGGCCAGCCTTCCGAATCCTTGGCAGTGTGCTCCACCAAATCCTCAAGGCAAGTGATGAACTCAGGGTGATGAGGCAAAGCATCAGCAACTCGAGTATGACAACCTTTTTGGCATTTCAGCCTGCGGGACTGTGTTGTAGGCAAGCTAGTTTGAGACTTGATCCACTACGGTTTCATGACCTGAGAAGACCTTGAAATGGTGTCCAAGAAGGTAGTGCTTCCAATGCTTAAGTGCCTCTCTGAAGGGATATGGCTATATGTGGAGCTAGCTACCTTGTTGCTGCAGTCCGTCGTCATCATCTCGTTGCAGCAATGTGTGAATCCCATATTGGATCGCATCCTTCTTGAGAGACTGAAAGGCAGGACTCACATGCATCATGTCAAGGATACATGTGGAGCTCGCTACCTTGTTACATGCTGCGCCTGCAACAGGGTGCATGGGCCATTTTCAGCCCGAAAGCCTGAAAACAAGGGCCTACAGGCCCTGTGTCGTTTCAGCCTAAAACAGGGCCTTTCCGGCCCTGAGTCTTTTCAGGCTGAAACGGAGGGCCATTTTCAGGCCCTCATGGGATCGACCTGCCCTGAAACTCAGGCACCAGACCAGGGTTTTAGCACAGGCCATTTTGGGCCTGTTGTCAAGACAACCCTTGGTTGAGCTTCAACGCCAGGGTCTGGCACGTTTCGGCATTGGCAATAGCAGCCTCCTGGATGGGCCAGCACTATATAGAACTGGCCCATAGGGACTTCCCAGGCACTTCATGTGCAGTTCGGGAGGCAGGAGGTAGTCTTCAGGATTCGGCAGCAGCACTCTGGAGGAGCGGTGCAGTTGTAGTAGTAGCGTTAGCAGTAGTCTTCAGCGCTGGGCGTTAGTAGTAGCTAGAGTAGTACTGGGAAGAGAGAGAGAGAGTGGGCGGAGGCCAGGGAGACTTACCTGCAGCGCCATAGCTCCAGCTTCGTCTTCGAGGTACCTGCAGCACAGTGCCATCTTCACAGGTTAGTACCTGGCGAATGAGAGAGAGAGATTCTTCTTCTTCCTCCTCTCAGTCCACCATCTCCCTCTCACCCTCTCGCGACCTGACTTCACCGCATCAGCAGACTACGAGAGAGCAGGATTGGTGACATTTGGATCCAGACTCAATATTGAGCTTCAGACATTTTGACGAGGGATTATTTGGGACTTGTAACGAAGACTTGGTGTTGACGACATTCCCATCTCTGCCCCCTCTTCTTCGTCTGTGCATGATCTGGACCTGGCACATTCTTCCTGTGTGTAGCGCCAGGCCCCTTCACACCTTGTGATGAGGATGATGTATGTTTGGTCTGCGTTGCGACATTGATTGGGCTAGTCATTGGTATTCTAACATTCCGCTGCGCTGTCTTGCACTATGTGATAGAGGTCAGTCCCGGTCAGGTCAGGTCAGTCCCGGTCAGGTCAGGACTTATATCTAAGTCTTCCACTGTGCTACAAAGCACCATTTTTGTATGTATCAGGATGTACACTGCTTGTGGAGATTCCACTAGCACTGCATTGTCCATTCAGTCCTTTTCATCACACTGCGGATCCTTGGTTATATATGTACATCGCCCAACTGGGCATGTAACATACCTTGTTGCTGCAGTCTGTCGTCATCATCTTGTTGCAGCACTGTGCGAATCCCATATTGGCTCGCATCTGCTGTGTGAGTTTGGGATCTGCAATGTGGAGCAGAGGACGACTCATCAGAGCCTTCCTGAGAGACTGAATGGCAGGACTCACATGCATCAGTGTAAGTTACATTCTTGCTTGTTAGTCGAGACAAGGGATGAACAATGACAGAAAACTTTGGGACAAACTTCCGGTACTATAAGCCGAGACCAAGAAAGGATAACAATTCTTGTACACGCACATCTTGAGGCCAATCGTGAATGACCTCACCTTGGTTGCCTCAGCCTCAAGGCCTGTAGTTTGGGATCTGCAATGTTGAGCACAGGATGACTCACCAGAGCCTTCTTGAGAGACTGAAAGGTAGGACTCACATGCATCACTCCAAGTGTAAGTTACATTCTTGCTTGTTAGTCGAGACAAGGTGTGAGCAATGACAGAAAAGTTTGGGACAAACGTCTAATAATATGAGGCCAGACCAAGAAAAATTGACTTCTTGAGGCCAATGGCGAATGACCTTAACCTTGGTTGCCATAGGCGCAAGGCCTGCAGCACACAACCGGTGCCCACAATGGATGGCATGGTCTCTCCAAAACGCAGATTTCTCCAAATTCACTGCAACCGTGCTTCCTTCAAAATCTCTTGTAAGTGCTTCAAGTGTTCATCCGTATCTTTGCTGAAAATCAAAATGTCATCGAGATAGACAACAACAAATCTGTTGATCTTATTTCTAAAGACATGTTCCATGAGACTTTGGGAGATGGCTGGCGTGTTTATGAGACTGAAGGGCATGACGATGAACTTGTGCAGCCCGTCGCGTGTCTTGAACGTGGTCTTGTGTTGGTCAGCCGGATCGACTTCAATCTGATGATAACCAGATTTAAGGTCGATTTTGGAGAAGACCTTGCGCCCACCAGCAATCATTGATTCGGGGTAGAGGATAGGCGTTCTTTCTGGCGATCCGGTTTAGGCCCTTATAATTGATGCACATCCAGAGTTTCCCACCTTTCCTTGGGACAAAGAGGATGGGTGCACCAAATTCTGACTCGCTTGGTCTGAACCTTCCTTGGTCAATCATGTCATCAAGGTGCTTTCACATTTCTTCCATCTCCGCTGGCCCCATGCAGTAGACACAACCCTTAGGAGGAACATCTAAAACACACACACACACACACACGCACACGCACACGCACACACACACACACACACACACACACACATGCCTGTGTGGTTGTGCATGTGTCTGTGTGTTTGCGTGAGTGGGTGTAGGTGGGCGTGTATGTGTGCATGTCGGTGTGGGCAGGCGTGGGTGTGTGTCTGTGGACCGGCATGATTGTGTGCGTGCGTCTGTGGGCATGGACCATGTGGGCGGGAGAGGGTGCATGGGTGTGGACCGGCATGCTTGCATGTGTGGTTGTGTGTGTGTGTGTGTGTGTGCGTGTGTGTGTGTGTGTGTGTGTGTGTGTGTGTGTGGGTGTAGGTGGGTGGGTGTGTGTGCGTGTTTGTATGGGCGGGCGTGGGTGCGTGGGTTTGGACCGTGGCATGCTTGTGCGTGTTTGCGTGTGGGTCTAGGCGGGCATGCATGTGGTGGGTGGGTTGCCTCGGGCACGCCATCCACCCAACTTTTGGCTTTGCGAACCATGTCAATGGGACCTCGCTGAATCAGGGATCTTCGCATCACCTGGAGACAAATGGAAAGGGCTTCCCTCTTGTGCACGCTGTGCGCCCAACTTTTCAACCAGCCTGATAGGACCCCGCTACCCCCGACTTTTCCAATCGTAGTATAGCCAGACGGGACCCGGTTGGACTGCGGGATGTAGCGCTGCCGAGAGTCGACTTTTCTCCAGTGAATCTGCCACGACTGGAGTTGGCCGCGATAACACATCACGGAATGGAATGCCACATGTGACAAAATAAAGCCCAACGAAGAAACATACAACACAAAGTGACGCGAGAAACGTTACTAAAATAATAGTGCCGGTTTGAGCCTCTCCTCGCTGTTTCAACTCCCTGAAACGGAAAAAAATGGAATTGACTTCTCTGGCATAGTCCGCCCTGTGATAATGCCACCTGTCAAGGAGAGGCTGTTCAACAGCGATTGATCAACCGCTGCAATGCACCGTTTTGGAAAAACAATACTTGTCGCTTGAATAGGGCCGGGTACATTTTATCAAAAACAATCCTTTCCAATGATCCTGGCTGTCAATCCGTACATCCAAAGGGCAGCAGTACATCCAAGATATCGACGTGCAGTATTACGGTCGTGGCCCACTTAGCTAGTGAATTTTGCCTTTGATAATGTGTTGTTAACACTTTCATGAAGTTGACAATTTCCACCAAGAATCCTGAATGCAGGACTCAGCAAGGTTTTGTTCAAGCAGACAGCTGACCTGATGTTCTAGGCAAGTATTTGTTGTTTATGGCCAGTTGATTTCACAAGCCCCAGAAAATGCAAAGTTCTTGTCGGAAGAAATGAACTACAGAAAATGGAGGAGGAATGAAGCTAGACTGGCTACTCTGGATTTCTCAAAGCTACGCTGTCTTCTCTGGTTCTGTTTCTTTAAGACTTCTTTAGTGTCATTGTTGCTGTTTTCCTGTTTTGTTAGGTGAGTCATCATCCTCCAATCATGGCTTTCAACTGTGAAGGCTTGGATGGGCAGTACTGCATCTATGGGGAGATGGAGTTGCGCAACAAGTTCTGGGGCAAAAGTGTGGAGGTGAGTCCTTCTCCGTGTTTCTCTTTGTTTTCTTCCTGACTGACTATTTCAGAAAAAAGTGTGGATCATTTGCCTCCACATAACTGACAGAAAATTCGGCCGAAGATGTGTTCCTCATCCTCTCTCATGCTTGGATGAAGAATTGGTGTTTCCTGACTGTCAACCCGTGTATTCTTCCCCACTATGGAAGAAGTGACCATGTCTGCTATTTCAGATTTGTCAGACTATTTTGAGCTCATATGTACCTGTTATTGCGTTTTTACCAGATTGGGGAGAACATGTCATGAGCGTAATTTGCTTAGGAAGTGGGAGTGGCATTGATATCATTTTGCCTGAAGGGTTCACTTTATAGTGGGAATGGTCCTTGCCGGCCTCATAAGGGGGTTCCTCCGATGTCTGTCTTGCCTCCTCACTGCTTCCTTGGTTGTCCTCTTTACCGCCTTCATTCTTATCCTCCTGCCGCTTCCCTTCGAACTTAACGAACAACGCTCTGTTGAATCCTTTGAATTCTGCTATGGTAGCTTGCTGTACGCTCCCCTCTGTGCTGCCATTTAAAGTCGTGAAGTTAGTATCTACTATCTAGGGCACTGATGGTAGCGTCAAGGGTACTAAAGCTTCAGTTCGTTAAGAGGCGGCCTTTCTCTATCATCTGCGATTGCCACCTGATCGTTGAGGGCCAGCATGGCCACCCAGCTCACATCCGCCTGTCCACTCTCCCCTGCCAACTTCCAGCTTCTTCTATATGAGCGACAACAACTCCTCTGCCAACTTCGCTGCCAACTTCTGCATGTTTTCTTCTTCTTCTTCCGCCTTCTTTCTTGCTGCCTCCAATTCTCCCTTCCTCTTCTTCGCCTCCGCCTGTCTCCTTGCTGCTTTCCCTAAGCGGTCCTCTGTGGTCAAGATGGAGGGCCCGGTTCCAATAAACGTCCGGTGTCCCACCACTGGAAGGCTATCCTTTTTCTCCTCTTCCTCCATTCTTCTTTTCTTCCTCTTGTCATTCTCCTCTCCACCATCATCGTCTCCTCCCCAAAAATTTCGCCCTTTCTCTTCTTTCTTGTGGTTCTTTGTACCCTTTGTCACCTGGCTGTAAAGCCTGCTTATCACTACTGTGGTCTATCATTGGAAGGTGTACGCTACACCAGAATCCCAGGGGATAGAAGAAACAGGGGAGTTGGATAAGTGCAGAAAAAGCCAAAACATAATACACGGGGTAATGTTCATCTTAGAGAATTCCTCCAATAGTCAGTCCTTATAGACCCTGTTCCAGAACCCCCTAGACTTCACTGATGTCTACTTCTGCAATTGCCTCGCTCAACAGATTCTTCTACAGGGATAACTTTTGGCAATTGCGTTGGCCGCCCAGCAGTTCAAGGACAGCCAGCAAAGTCCTCAAGAATTGTTTAACGTCAAAGAGAGGACGATATGGCCAAGTAGCATCTCCACCTCCCTGGGTCAGCGCTCGTACGCACATGGTTCACTTACACGCTGGTCAGTACCGGTCCTCGGTCTAGATGGGTTGTTTAACGAGCACCCACACTCAATGCCGATGCTTACTCTATGCAATTCCCGGTCACAGGCTAACCTTTCAACACTCAAAGACTTTGGCAGCTCTTGTATGCACACGGTACGCTCGCACGCCAGTCAGTACTGGTAGCGTCTCCAGCTCCCTGGGTCAGCGCTCGTACACACATGGTTCACTTGCACGCCGGTCAGTACTGGTCCTTGGGCTAGGTGGGTTGTTTAACGAGCGCTCACCGCTCAATGCCGATGCTTGCTACTTTAGGCAATTGCCAGTCACAGGCTATAAGACTTTAGCAGCACTTGTACGCACATGGCACATTCGCACTCCAGTCAGTACTGGTCCTTGGGCTAGACGGGTTGGTTGACGAGCGCCTGGAACTCAATCCCCATGCTTGCTACTTTACATGTTCACTGGTTGCAGGCTGGCCCATAAGCGCTGACTCAACCTCCTACCGACTCAGAACGTAGTTGACACAGAAACAAGAGAAGACTCTTGCAGCTCAATCCAGGGAAAGGTTGAGAAACAGAGAATCAAAGTCACACACGCGCTTGAGGGAAGACATAGCTAGGGTTGAGCTGGTAGGGGGTGGCCATAGCCGCCGAGGTCGGGGGAGTGAAGCACTGGTGTATCCAGGGTAGATCGTAGGCTAGTCTAGGGAAAGAGCAGAGAGGACTGCACGATACAATCTCAGAGAGAGAGAGAGAGAGAGAGAGAGAGAAAAGGGGAAGGGAAGGGGTTACATACCTTATTCGGTTTGTGTGGTGACGCGGCATATGCCGCTTGGATACTTGAACAATCTCTTTGTGTAACATAATAATTCGGTGTGGAATCTTGAGTGCTGTTGGGATCTCATCCCTCAGTTGCAAGTGTGATATTTCATGTGAATGTTTGCCGGGCATGTGTGTGTGTTTGGTGTGAATTCGGAGCTGGATCATTGCAAACACGAGTGATGTTACCTATTAGCAATGGATATTCTGCTAGAGATCTAATGCAAAAAAGCAACTTGAGATTGGTAGGTCTCAGGCATCACCGGAGAATAATGCAGCTGCTTACCTGCGAGAGTTTGAACTACATCTACTGCTCATCACATTTGGCAAAACTCTTTGCTTAAGGTCCTCACCTTTGTGATGGGAAACTTTCTGCCTTCTTGTTTGCATTGTAAAATTCTCATTTCTGTAATCAGTTTCTTTTATCTTTCTTTCTGTCTCTCCTCTGTTTTGAGAGGGGCTTGATCTTGTCATTCTTGTATCCAGCAGGCCTATTACTCGTATCAACTGTTAATCAACAGCGATTGGTGTGTGTCATTCAGCCACCTGGCAGGTACTCTTCACAATCATCTCTGGAGTCCTGAGACTGTTCAATTCGTTTTGTGTCATGCGGAATTGGTGGGTGTTCTCCATGCTGATGTTGGGTGTATCTGCTGTTATGCAAAGGCCCAGTGGATTTGCCGGGTGGTAGGCGTTGGTTTGGGTGGCTGGATGGTTTGCTGGATGACCATGTCCGGGAACTTCGATTGCAATGTGGGCAGATTTTACCAATCGGTGTGTGCCATTTACGGATTCCCAAGTTTAAGGACCACTACACGTGGAATAAGGTCACAACTTGCGTCCACAACGTGGTGGTTGGAAAGCTATGGATTGACAACTATGGAGAGATGCTGATTACAAACCATACAACTGGAGAGACATGCCGTTTACGTTTTCACAAAGCAACCAGTCAAGAACAGGGTCGTGTTGCTGGTAAGGTGAGCGACTTGTAAACAACCGGGTACCAGGAGGAACTCTGCATGAGCAATCCTAATCATGACTATCACTCATCTTCTCCTTTTCGCTAGTTAATTCCGACATGTTCTTTTTTCCTCTTACCTTGTCGCTGCTGCAAGGAATGAAGAAAGAGGATGGTACCAAAAGAACGGGAAAAAGAGGGAGGAAGGTAGGGAGAAGGAGGTGGGGAAGGGAAGGACGGGGAAAGGGAACATTGTGTGGGAGGAAAGGAGGGAACTGGGTATGAAATAGAGAGGAAGATGGGGTAGAGAAGGAAAGCAGGGAAGGAAGAGGGGAAGAGGAAGGAGACGAAAGGGGAGAAAGGGAATGGAGGAGGAAAGCAGGGAATGAAGAGGGGAAGAAGAAGGAGACGAAAGGGAAGGGAGGGAATGGAGAAGGAAAGGGGGAGGAAAAGCATGACCGAGGGAAGAAGAGGGAAAAGGAGGGGGAAGAGGAGGGAAGCAAGGAACGAGAGATAGGAGGGAAGGTGGGAAAAGAGAGTTATGGAAGCAGGGAGGAAGGGAGGAGGGCAAAGAAGGGAATGGAAAGGGTATCAAGAGGGAAAGGAGACACATTGCAAAAGAAGAGTGAAGGAAAGCAGAGGAAAGTGGAGGCAATCCAAACCAAAGAGGAACTGAAGCGGGGGCAAACAAAATTAAAGCAAAGCACAACAAGACTTAGGGAAGCAAAACACAGGAGAGAAAAAGAAACTGGGACAAAAGAATGGGTAGAAAGGTAAGCGAGGCAAGGTAGGGAGGGAGGGGGAGTCGGGGGAGAAGGGCGGTGAACAGGGAAGCAGGAAGGGGGAGGAAGAAACAAAGACATTCATGGATCTCTGGCAGGCACCATTCTTGCCGTGTTGCCCGGGCACCTACCAATCTATCTATTAGCAGCTACTCAGCCCCCTGACAAATGTTGACATGGTAGCCTAGGGGGGAGAAAGAAGGTCGGTGAACAGGGAAGCAGGGAAATACAAACGAATCAATTCAAATGATGAGGTTAGACAGCTCAGAACTGCTGTAATGATCATGATGTCAGAAGTACAATGAGAGGAAAGTGAGAGTAAACAGAGCCAATGTGAGCAGGGAAGGGGGAGGAAGACGCACAGGCATTCATGGATCTCTGGCAGGCGCCGTTCTTGCTGTGTTGCCCAGGCATCTAGCAATCTATCTATTAGCAGCTGCTCATCCCCCTGCCACATGTTGACATGGTAGCCTAGGGGAGTGGGGGGAGAAGGGCGGTGAACAGGGGAGCAGGGAAATACAAAGGAATCAATGCAGATGACGAGGTTAGACAGCTCAGAACTGCTGTAATGATCATGATGTCGGAAGTACACTGAGAGGAAGGTGAGAGTAAACAGAGCCAATGTGATCTTTTTTTTTTCTTTGGACCGTTTCTTGATTTATGCATGTCGTCCTTCGTTTGTTGTGGAAATTACTGGCGTCTGAATCTCCACATGTTGATGATGTGCCGTCCGCAGGCTTTCGATGCAAAGGGAGTTGCTGTGTATTCAATTCATGGCAACTATATGGATAAAATTTCAGCTACTCCGGAGGCACTTGCCGTCAAGTCTGTGGCGCCCGCTTCCAATGGAGCTACACCCAAGCCACCAAGGCTGTTATGGAAGGGAACCAATCAATTGGAAAACTCGGTTCAACAGTATTCATTTTCCCAGTTCACTGTTGGCCTGAATGGTAAGCTTTCTGTCCCTTTCTAGCCTTATTCTCTGTTTCTCCCCTGCCCCTCTCTCCCGGTTTGGAGGATGGATAGGAGCTGACTCGAGGTCGAGCTTATCAGCCCTACACAGGAAACGCCCCTGGTCATGTGTTTGTCCAAACCAAAACACTCTTGAAGATGAATGAGACGAACCAATCATACCGTACAAACATGGCTATCATCCGGACATCTGAACTGGTGTGCAGACAGTCCAGAATCTGTACATTCAGAGGCATCCTGAAATATATTGATAGAGTCGGTGAAACTCTGACGAGACAGTTTGTCACAGTTCCTCGTTTGTTGTCCTCTTCTCCCTCTTGGCCTATGGTTTACCGGGCAGCTCTGTTTGACGATATATATTATATATTTTTATTATTTTATTAATTCTAGAACTGGGTTAGGCCAACGCCCGGTCCAGACGGACCGGGGGGGGGTCCGTCGGGCAAAACCAGACGAGCCAAAAAACATCCCAGGATTTTACTTTTTTATTTTTTGAAGATGGGGTTGGACTACGCTCGCTAAGAGGAGACCAAATCCGCAGAGAATCTTGTGAAAGGCATGGGGAGGGGGGTATGGTTTGGCAAGGGGGTGAGAAGGGTGTGTTGACTGTTTGCAGTAGCCAGTTCGCTGAGGAGGAGGAGGAGGACCTGCCTGTAGTGTACGGGGATGGCGAAAAAAAAGAAAAAAAAAGAGGACGACGAAGTACGAGGAGGAGGAGGACCTGCCAATAGTGTATGCGGATGATGAAAAAAGAAAAAAGAGGACTACGAAGGACGAGGAGTTGGAGGAGGAGAGAAGGAGAAGACAAAAGTTGGTGGAGGAGGAGTAGAGGAGAAGAAGAAGAGGAGGAAGAGGAGGAGGAGGAGGAGAAGGACCTGCCGGTAGTGTATGGGGATGACAGGGAAAAATTAAAATAATAAGAGGACGATGAAGGATGAGGAGGAGGAGGAGAGAAGGAGAAGACGGAAGTAGGTGGAGGAGGAGGAGGAGGAGGAGGAGGAGGACCTGCCGATAGTGTATGGGGATGACGGGAAAAAAATAAATAGTAAGAGCACGGCCTTCTTCACAGATGGTGTACAGTTCCTTTAGCTGGCTTCTTAGCTCTCTGTTCGTTCTTTTGTTGAACCATTCGTTTGTCGGTAAGGCTATGTATGCTATGCACCTATGAGCGATTGTAGATTCATTACTATGCCCAGTCTGGTTGCCGCCGTCTGCGACCAGATCTGCCTGTGGATCCTGACTGCGTTCACTCCTGTGTGTTCTTCCAATCCTCTGCCTATTGTTGCGTCACTGGGTAGGATCTCAGCCTTAGCCTAGTTTGGTGGTATTAAGTATATTAATTCTTACCCTAAGGTTAAAGGCTTCCACTTCTCATTTTCCACGCCCATTCAGCTGGGTCAAAGTCCAGGTCTCCAATGGAGGTTGTGGGTCTGTAGATACTAGATAGTGAATTCTTCATTTTCTGTGGTCCTTACCTTCCTTATGAAGTCAGCTTGGACTGCCACCTGTGCGTGCAACTTCTGCGCCACTCGGCTTGTGGTTGCCCCTGTAGCATGTATCACTAACATCTTAGTAACATGTCATTTGGGGTGCTGGATCCAACTTCCATGTCGCCCAGTCTCCTCTGTTTGTTCTCCGGCCCCTCTTTTTTTTTTCTGAAGGCCATTGCTATGTGGGGTGCTCGATCTGACTTCCATGTTGCTCAGTCTCCGCTCACCCACTGCCATTTTTCAGTGATCTTGTCCAGTATTCCGGCCTTGACACATCATTTAAGTTTTCCAGAAGGTGATGACACCCTTTTAACGCTCTCTTACTTGTGCTGCTGAAGGCAGCACAAAAAAAAACACAGACTGTTTCATCAGATGTGCAACAAAAACACAAGACCGTAAAGAAGCACGAAAAAAAAGCCACAAAGAAAATGACAACATTTCATCGGACTTGCACCAACTCAGCAGGAGGTTGAACCCTGGACAATCTGTGGAATCCCTATATTGATGCTTTGGGTCGTGAACTCTTTGTCCCCTGTTGTAAGCGGGCAAACTGCAGCACAAGCAGCACGGTAAGAGCAAGGCAACAAGGCATTAGGTGACAAGCAGCAGCAAGGCGCGTATGTTGGAGGGCACGGGGAAGGCTCGTGGGCAGAGAAACAGCACAAGGCAGTGAGGAAAAAGGCTGCAAGTCAAAAGGCTGTGAGGCAACTGGCAGCCAAACGACCAGGCAAGCAGCATGGAAAGAAAAGGCAGCAAGGCAAAAGGTCTCACTGGAACAGGCGCAGAGGCAAAAAGCAGTCGAAGGACCAGGCCAGGATTGCAGAAAGGCAAGGCAGCAAGGCAAAAGGCAACAAAGCAAATGGTAGCAAGGCAAAAGGCAGCAAGACAAAGAGCACAAAGCAGCGAGGCAAAAGGAAGCAAGGCAATAGGCAGCCAAACAACCAGGCAAGAAGCACGGAAAGACAGGGCAGGAAGGAAGCGAGGCAGAACGTGCCAAGGGAAAGGGCAGCCAAAGGACCAGGCAAGCACCATGGAAAGATAAGACAGTGGGGCAAAAGGCAGCTACGGGACAAGGCAAGCGGTATCGGAGGACAAGGCAGCAAGGCTGAATGCAGCGAAGCAAAAGGCAGTGAGGCAGGAGGCAGCCAGGCAAAAGTGCAGCAAAGCAAAAGGTACCCAAATGGCAAGGCAACCAGCGCAGCAAGAGAAGGCAAGTGGATGGCAGCAGGAGGGGAAGGCAGCACAGTCAAGGCAGTCCAAACAAGCAACGCGAACCAGAGCATCACATCAGTTACACCACAAGTACAGCACTGCAGACTGTTGGTTCCCACCATCCTCGGAGCCAGGAACTCACTTTGACGAATGTCTGTCATCACCCATGGCAGCGACAGTCAACCCGGACAGAGCAGCCTCCCTAATAGTGTTGCAGGCACTCCAAACAAACAAGCACGTACTATTTGGCACTTCTTAGAGATGCTCACTTAGACACAAACTTCACAAAGGGTAAAAAGCAGGAAGGAAGATATACAGCCATGTGATTGTGTGTGTGTGTGTGTGTGTGTGTGTGTGTGTGTGTGTGTGTGTGTGTGTGTGTGTTGAGGGACCTGATTGTGGCACATTTTCTTTAATGAACCTGAGCAATCTGACCATTTCACTCGTTAGAGTTATGACCCTTGTCCAACAACGGCAAATGCAGGACAAGCGCGTACTATTTGGCACTTCTTAGAGATGGTCACTTAGACACAAACTTCACAAAGGGTAAAAAGCAGGAAGGAAGATATACAGCCATGTGATTGTGTGATTGTGTGTGTGTGTGTGTGTGTGTGTGTGTGTGTGTGTGTGTGTGTGTGTGTGTGTGTGTTGAGGGACCTGATTGTGGCACATATTCTTTAATGAACCTGAGCAATCTGACCATTTCACTCGTTAGAGTTATGACCCTTGCCCAACAACGGCAAATGCAGGTCAATTGACAACCTGGCACCCCATCCCTTGTCTTCCATGAACTGACCAGTCCACACCTTTGCTGGTCATGCAGGAATTGCCTAGGCTTTTCACATATATGTAAATCATTGTTGTCATGACCGAAGGTTTGTGATGTAATTCCTGCCAGTACTGAAGGACATGATCAGTGGTTGAGCATCACCTTGTTGGAGCGCCTCTGTTAACCAAATATAAGTTGTTTCTGAAAACTCTGATCATGATTTTGCAAGGAAAATGAGCGAGAGCGATAGACAGAAAACCAGATTGCAATATGATGCTGAAGACGAGATAGTCATGTACCAAGCAGAAAGCACGATGCACCGAGACACAAGCCAAATAAGAGCTATACAATGAACTCAAGTAAGGTGGCAACGCTGACTGACTTCCATATACGATGGAAAGACCGGCTAAATTCTGATACGGGGTGGAAAAGACAAGTGCTCCAGGTACCAAATGAACAAGTCCCACTGCAGGCCATATGAGCTGACGGGCTAAGATGGTTCGGAGGATTCCATGCAAAACTTTAAAAGGAGAGTTTAGGGTTTTGGGACTGCTTTGTAAATAGATTTAAAGAGGCAAGACGGTTTTGAGGCATACGGGCAGGTTTTCAAGGAGGGGTCACAAGGGTCAGCTTGAGTAGCTGGTCAGCTCTTTCTCGTTTTTCACAATATATCTGGCAGGTTAGCTAACAGACCTGAGAGGAAAGAGAAAAGCAGGGCAAGCTGACAGTCAATCCTCCACTACCTTGGAGTAATCAATGCTGTTCAGAGGTCCTTCGGCCAGACGGAAGGAAGCGTGAGTGCGTTATTGATATAATGCTTATTCAGACTTGCCGGTGGAATAGGAAGCGGACTGACGCTCCCAGAATGGAAAAGGAGCCAGGATTGTAAGGTCCTGTTTTATTTTTATTTTTTAATCAAAAAAAAAATAAAAAATCAATGTGGACACTCTCTCACCTCACCGACATAGTATACATTGTTGCTCTTCTTAATTGGCTCTCAGCGCCCAGCATATCCTACTCAGCTACTCTCTAGCCTACCTTTACGCATATGCAACAGGAGTCACTTCAAGCTGAAGACCAATGTACGTGACGACATTGCCAGTGCAGGCCGAAGACCACCATCAACATGACTGACTTCCACGCAAGCAGGCCCGGCTATGGCCGCTCGCGCCCACTGCCACCACAGTCCCCTCTCATCTCTAGCGCCCACGTGCACTATCTGGCCAGCGCCCCAGTGTGGCACAGTGGCCGCCCACTAGCTCACTGCCAGAATATCTCCCTGGCAGGGTGCACACTTTCCTTTATGGAAAGTCAGCCCAGCCTCTTGCTGGCCTGGCCCTGGTGGGCGTGTGCCCAGTAGCTTCACTTTGGGCGAAAGTGTCTGCACCCAGGCCCATTCAGACATTGGGCCCGCAGCAGTTAAGCTGCCCAACTGTGGGACATGGCTGCTGTCACTCGCTGCTTTCTCATTGGCCATCGGGCCTCCAGCCACGTTGCTGCTTGCTTCCCATTGGCCAAGAGCCTCTGGCAACGTCGCGGGTGGATTGAGCCCAGAGGCTACCCATGCTGTGCTCACACAGGCGTGGCCCTGTAACCAACTGGCGCGTGGTAACTGTCTGGTGTCCCACAGTGCAGAAATGACAGAAATTCGGCCTCGTGTTCGAATGCAGGCCCACCTTCACTTAGGGCGGGCACTAGGCATGCTGGGGCACAAAGGGGGCAGGCGGGTATCTGGCCAGAAAGGCCCTTGCGAGGGCTATATCCTCGCAATTTTGTCATAACAAGAAAAAATGACCATTGTTATTGGGGCGATGGCAGACCCAGAAGGGAAACGATGGGAACAAACTTCAACAACGATAAGAGATGAAAAGAGAAGACATGGATAAGGAGTTTCTCAAAGAAAGTGTCCAGATTTGAGGAACAAATGGTTTTTAGGTTGCATGGATGCCTGACAACTGTTTGCTGTCAGCATTGCACAGGTGAGAGGTGTTTCACCAGTAGTTTGTGGGGAGGTTTTAGGTTTGACCTTGGGACCGGAGCTCAGGTGTGCAAGCATCATGTGTTTCCTCTCTTATGTTTGCAGAACTGACACCCAAATTGGCGGAGGTGCTTCCCCCAACGGACTCCCGGTTTCGACCTGACCAGCGCGCTCTGGTAAGGCTCTTTCCTACAGCACGGTTATCCATTTCCCACGCATGTATTTGCTTGTGTGAGGTCTTCACATTACAAATCACAGCACTCTCTCTGTTGTCAAGATGACGGTTATGTCATGTTTTGTTGATCATAGGCTGGATCCACCCATAACTTCAGCACACACTGTGTCGTCTCTATTAGCATGCCAAGGTTTGGCTGCGTACATTTCGATCATTTTTCATCACACTTCCTCCCTCCCTCCTCTCACCCTCCTCTCCCTACGCCCCACCCGCCCAGAAGAAAACAATCTGTGCACAGAGGAAGAGGATATACAGTGTTGAGGTTGGTAGCAGGATGTTCTGTGTGCTAAGGGGTGGAGTGGCAGGGGGGAGCTGGAGTGTGTAGAGAGGATCCAAGATGATTTGGATGGATGAGAAGGGGGAGAGGTAGTGTTGAAGGGGTTGTTCAGTGGTTTGCATTTTAAGAGTGTGCAGGGGTTTGGAAAAGAAGTGTTTTGGGGGGAAGGGGTGGTGTTCAACGAGATCACAGCATCATTTGCACACGTAGGCGTGTGATTGTAGTGTCAAGGGACAGTTGCATGATGCTTTGCACATGAAGCTGCGGGAGGGGAGCGGGCGGGGATTCATTATGAGGGGGGCGTGATACTTGGCATGGGAATGGAGGGAGAGAGGGAAGGGATGCAAGATGCTTTCTGTATGAAAGTGGGAGGGAGAGACTCCATGTGGACCGGGGGGGGGGAGGTAGGGAGAGAGAGAGAGAGAGAGAGAGAATCTGCACATATATTTCTCAAACGTTTTCAGCCGTGGGTGTCCTTGCTTGACGCACGTCGTTTCGACATTGTGGGCTTTTTTTCCGGTCAATGCGGTGAGACGTTCGACATGCAGATCGACACCTTTCTGCGATTGAAGGCGACGTTCCGACACGTTCGTCTTTTTTTTAACGGTTGCAGTCGATGCATTTCTTTTCCGTTGTTGGTTTTTCAATGTTCTTTTTTTTTTGCCTTGGGGTCTTTTGTGGCCGTGCTTTTCTTTTCCGTTTTGGGATTCCTCTCCTTCATTCGCGGCATCGTAGGATGTCAGACCCAAATCGGATGCCACGTCTGACACCGGCCACGGGTGCTGCTTGAAAAGAAAGTAAAATAGGGCCATGCTCCACTACACAACACTGTACATGCATTTGGACGTTTTCTGCACACGATACATTCAAAATGATGGACTTGTCCAAATGCACTTGGTTGAGAAAGCATCCAAATGCATTGAGAGTGTTGTGTAGTGGAGCGAGGCCCATAACGAGCCCAAGTGGCTGAATGGTACACCCATGAACGTTTCATAACCAGGCTTGTGCTCGACTCCTGCCTGGAATGAATGAAAACTCTGAATTACCATGCTCACTGCTTAGTTTGATAGTGATACCTCAAGGTCATTGGAAAAAAAAAGAACGATAGATAGCGTGGCGATGGGTTGGGCCCTCCATTTCCCATTGTCAACAGAGCCCAGAGGAGAACATGCATTTCGGCATGCCCGTTTTTGAGACTCTGGTTGGCACAGCCCAAAATGAAATGAGCTGTGTGCAAACGCGCGTGTGGAAGTGCTCTCTCTCTCTCTCTCTCTCTCTCTCTCTCTCTCTCTCTCTCTCTCTCTCTCTCTCTCTCCACCCCTTGCGACTTTTGTTTTCCTTGTATTCCATGTTTCTGTTTTGTCCCGGGTGGGAGCGATCGGAAATTCCATCGCTCGCTCTCTCTCTCTCTCTCTCTCTCTCTCTCTCTCTCTCTCTCTCTCTCT